ATAACATCATTTTTAATGTCATTTAAACATATTTGTTAACGAAAAAAAAACGGTCACGCCACAATAATGCTAGGACCAACGTTGATGTTTTGATAAAAAAAAAAAAGGACTAAAAGTGAAATGACACATATAAATATAGGACAAAAAAAATGATTTAACACTTAAATATGAATAAACCAACATGTCTTTTTATTTAACGCCATTTAAACAATTTCGTTAATAGAAGACTAAAAATGAACATGTCACAATTATACTAGAATAGAAAAAAAAATGTTTTGAAAAAATAAAATAAAATTAAAAGTTGACTGAAACATATAAACCTAAGACAAAAAAATATAATATAATTAACTCTAATATAATCCCAACAATGAATAGAGTTGAGATGGAGGCTGACCTTGTTTCCCGGGTTTTATTCTTGTAAGAGTTTTGAGTAATGTATGACAAAACGGAAGAGGTAGTTTATAATTTTATTTATTTTTTAAACAACAAGGAAAAGAAAAGATGAATTGGAAAGCACTTTAAATAAGAGCCCTTGAGATTGGAAATGGAATGAGTAACAATCTACTACTTATCTATAACTTGCACATGGAGCACATAAATATCATGCTGCATTTTTTATGACTAATTTATTCATCTGTACAATGAGACCACCTTCTTCAGACCCACTAACACAACTCTCATAATTTCACCCTACATACAAAAAAAAAAAAAAAAAACCCTAAAAAATCCCTTTCCACTGATCTCATCGACTAACTTTATACTGTATTATAGTCAAAATGGTCCATTCAAGCCACCAAAGTTGCCTAAGTGTCAACTTAAGAATGTCTCATAGCAGCACGCACAGATTTAACTCAATGATTTAGTAGGCAGTATTTTAAAAAAAAAAAAAAATCAAGATTCAAACTTTGACAGCAGCAGTGTGGGAATCAATCGAAACAGGTTCAAAATGAGCAAATTCTTTGTGCATATCGCTATTTGACCAATCATTATTGTGTGGACCATATTTTGTCTACTGTAAAATAATGTATATTTAATAAAAAATAATGTACATTCAGTACAAAAATAATGTACATTGTATTTAGGGGATGTACATTATTTTTGTTCTGATTGTACATTATATTGTATAATGTACATTCAATACAAAAATAATGTACATTTAATATATTTAAAATGTAATTTTTGTTATAGTCCACATAATATTGTGTAGACTATAATTTGCCGTATTTGACACACTTAGTCATCGTGATTATATCCTCTTAAATGTTCTGTTAGAACTAATTAATTATAGTCGATCTTATAGATAACTTAGACTATCTCTTTGTGATTTTTAATTTTACAAACTAAAGTAAAATTTTATTAAAAAAAATACATTCGAGTAGTGATTTCGGACTTTCTCTTAGATCGAAAAACATAGGAATGTCGGGATAGGTACATTATGGTTTTAAATTTGGTTAAATTAATGATCCATCAAACGTCATTTAAGGATTAAATAATATTTAATTAAGGTTAATGGGGATGGTCGTTTGTGGCTGTGCGATGATCTATCTGAGCATGCTGCAATGGCGCCGGCTTTAGTAAATTATAATTTACAACTTTTTTTTCGGTCAATCCTTGTATATGATTACAATGAATAAACTTCTTCAAGTGATGGTATTATGATGTTAATGACTAGATTATATATGTCATTATTGTATTGTTGTAGTATGAGAATATTCGAGTACATGTCCGAAGATCCTAAACTACCTTATTGGGTCTTGAAAGAATTAATGGTTTAGAATTTTTACCAAATTCTCTTTCAAAAAAAAAAAAGAATTTTTACCAAATTAATAAGATTGTAAATTGTAATGTTTTTTAAAAGAATTGTTCTCAAATGGGTTTGAATAAAATTTAATTAGATTTGTTTTATTTAACAAAATGTAAATAATTACGGAGTGCTTATATATATATATATATATATATATATATATATATATATATATATATATATATATATATATATATATATATATATATATATATATATATATATATATAATGTTGTTGATAGAATATATGACAATTTGATCAAGCGAGCCCAATAGTCTAACCCATCACAAGGCAATCGTTATGCTGTGAAACCGTGTTCAACTTGAAAGGTGAACATAGTTCTATGTTCATAATTACTGAATTATATGTTCATAATTATAAAGTTATATATTTATAATTTTTGAATTTCATATTTATAATTTTTGAACTCTATATAACCTCTAACCTGCAATAACATTCATATATCTCAGGTGATATTAACTATATTCGAGTGTTAGATCCTTAATAGATTTATGAAAATAATTCCGCAATCATTATCTAAAAAGTGCACTATATATGAAATTCATCATTTAATTATGATTAACAAAGGATCACAAAGATACAAACAAGTCTAAATTGTATACAATCGACCGATTCGTTAGAAATTAAATTAACATATGCCTAAGTTAACTAAACTCATCAATAATAAAGTTGTATTGGCAAGATATGAGAAGCATAAAATATAGAGAGATGACTTGTTCCATTACAACGCTATTGCTAACTGCCAAACAACAAAACACATTTCATGACTACTTTCTTAAACATTTCATGACTACTTTCTTAAACGGAAGTACTAGAAAAGACACTTGGGAAACACAAAAGCGTGTGGATCATTTTTTTTTTAAAAAAAATACATTTTTAATATATTAAAAGTACATTATTTGTGTACTGAATATACAAAATAATATATTTTCAGTACACAAATAATGTACTTTTTATTTATGTTCAATACAATAATGAATGGGAAACCAACGTGTTTGATATATATATATATATATATATATATATATATATATATATATGAAAGCATGATCACGATTGATGTAGCAAGAGACTAACCATTTTCATGCACGCCCGATATTGTTTGGATCGTCAAGCCGTGTCTTCTAAACGTACGTTGAAAATTTTATTATACAAAACTATATTAGAGGTGATATTTGAATTATACTCTTAACGACACAATAAAACATATATGAGTTTATTTTAGGCAAAATTACATTTTTGGTCCTCTCGTTATACCCATGGTACAGACTTAATTTCTGAATTATATGTGTGACCATCTTTAACCCATAAGTTATGCATGGAATAACGATTTTAGTCCTTGAATGACCAAATCATACAATAAATTGATGGTAGAAATAGTCATCAAGGAACTAAAATCGTAATTTCATGCATAACTTATAGGTTAATCATGCATATAACTCAAGGACTAAGGACGGATATAAATGACTAAAAATATAATTTTACCTTTATTCTATTTAGAATTTTAATGTTAATTATCCTAATACGGTTGGGAACATGTCGTTCTCATTTCTCTATAATTAGCTTGTCAACTCACGTGTGAACCCCCCTCCATCCTTCGCTGTTTTGGTATCATTTTAGGGTACACAACCGAATTTGTTTTTTTTCCTCACCTTACTTTAATTTTTTAAAAAACTTAGTTCATCTCAGTTTCGCTAGATTAATTCTAAGCCCACACGACTCCGTCCATAAAGTCACTGCGGAAATAAATCGCGAATTGCACAATCAATCGACCGGTCAGATCCTAGTCTTCATGTCCGCTCAAGAAATATCCTTACACTGCCACCTACAATCATGACCTTTAAGTCAGGCGACGAACTAACTATAGTAAGTCCATGGTGATGTATTATTAGTTGATTGTATTATTAAAGGTGGTGCAACTTTTCTTTTCTCTTATACCGCCCTATTTCGATGACATGATGTTGAATTTAGCGCGCGAGTGAATAATCAGTCGGATGGTTATATAATCAACTGAAAAATAGAAAAATTGGTCGACTATTTTGACCTTCAAAATTGATCGAAGCGAATAATATAACCAACCAAAAAAATCAAACGTTGATTCCAGTCAGTTATGCTGGTTACCGAAAAAATCGATCAAATGCATACTATATATTGGTATTATAACTTTTGGGTAGTCAACGATGGGTCAACACAACCATTAAAATAACAAGTATATAAGAAATCAGAAAATATGGAGAGAGTATAGGTATTGTATTGTTGAGAATGGCTTGTCTTCTCCCCATGTATGAGATCTATTTATACATATTTTGGGCTAAGAGCCCTACAAGGAATAAGAATCCTAGACTACTTCATATTGGGAGTCATGTTGAGAGTAATAAACCTTAGTCCTACTACATTGAAAATAATGAGCCCCAATCCTTATTACATTATGAATACTAAACCCAATTCTTATCAACCTCTTAAGTTGCTCCGTACTGTATATCATTCTTGTGCTTCATTGATCCAATTACTTTCTTGAGCCGGTTATGTGGTCCAGTCCATTATACCATCCATCACATGCACTATTCCTAAAAATTCAAACATGCAATGCTATAAAATTTCAAATCCAATAATGTAGGTTATTAGTCACCAACTAAAACTGAAGATGATAGCTTAATAATAACCAAATGATAATAGAAATATAATTTTAAAAAATCAATATCCAAAACTGATCGAAAATTAAAATTTTTGGATTGATTTTATTCTTGATTCTTGATTGTCGAATGATTAACCATAATTTGCTTAGCCGTAGCTGGACTCGGGCCATTTTTTGGGAGAATTTGTTAGGTAATATTTTTTTTAGTAGGGAAAAGGGTATTTGTTAGGTAATATTGCAATACACTCTTTATAGCACTTCATTTATTTATACCAAGAATAATAATAGAATTTGGGAGAAGAATAATAATAGAATATCCTACTAATTAATCACAGTTCATATGAAAATTATTATGCTTATTAATGACGATATGATAATAAATAAAATCCAACTAACAGAGGGCGAAAAGACTAGAGTACCCCCACACAGATAGGCACATGTTGGAATTGAATTGAAAACAACCACCGAACTATTTTAAGGTTTGACTAAGTTGAATGAATATACCAAAGTAGATCCTTTAGGTTTTGCGTATATATATACACCCGTTTTACTCTCTCGAGTCGTTCAATCCAACATGAATTCTACCTGTTTCACTCTATAACTAATACTCCGCTCTCCCGGCTTCTCCATTCCTTTTTTCTCTCGTGCTCTTCTTCATTCTCTTTCAGGTCTCTTAGATTTTAATTAATGTTTTTCTTATAATATTTATGAGATTTTTGATATGTTTATGTGTTTTGTTATTAATAGTTTCTGGGATTTTTGTTTGTTTATAATTTGTTACTCAGGACTAACTGATCGGAGGGGATAGTAAGGGTGTTGTGAAAATGCCGTCGGCGAATGGGGAGATGAGGGTGTTGAGTGCGTTGGATCAGGCGAAGACGCAGTGGTATCACTTCACAGCGATTATCATCGCCGGAATGGGGTTTTTTACCGACGCATATGATTTGTTTTGTATATCGCTGGTGACGAAGCTGCTGGGGAGGGTTTATTATCATGTTGATGGGGCGAGGAAGCCGGGGAGTTTGCCGCCGAATGTGGCGTCGGCGGTGAATGGCGTGGCGTTCTGCGGGACATTGGCGGGGCAACTCTTCTTTGGCTGGTTGGGGGATAAGTTGGGGAGGAAGAAGGTGTATGGACTCACTCTCATGCTCATGTGCGGCTGCTCAATCGCTTCCGGGTTGTCGTTTGGCCACACGCCGACGTCGGTGATGACGACGCTCTGCTTTTTCCGGTTCTGGTTGGGGTTTGGCATCGGCGGTGACTACCCGCTCTCCGCCACCATCATGTCGGAGTATGCCAACAAGAAGACTCGCGGCGCATTTATCGCCGCGGTTTTCGCCATGCAGGGGTTCGGGATTTTGGCGGGCGGGATTTTCGCGATTGCGGTTTCGTTCGCTTTTGAATCTAGGTTTAAAGCGCCACCGTACGAGGTTGATCCGGTGGGGTCCACCATCCCGCAGGCGGATTTCGTGTGGAGGATAATTCTAATGGCCGGCGCGCTCCCGGCGCTGCTGACGTGGTACTGGCGGATCAAGATGCCAGAAACCGCCCGCTACACGGCGCTGGTGGCTAATAATGTTAAGCAAGCGACGGCGGATATGTCTAAGGTTATGCAGGTTGATCTTGAAGCGGATCTTCCCAAGGAAAGAGAGGCGGAGGCCTCGTCGAGGGCGGGGGCGTTCGGTGGTTTATTCTCAAAGAAATTTCTCAGCCGCCATGGGCTTCACTTACTGGGAACTACGACCACTTGGTTCTTGCTCGACATTGCTTATTACAGCCAGAATTTATTCCAGAAAGACATCTTCTCCGCCGTGGGATGGATTCCACCGGCCAAGACTATGAACGCCATTCAAGAGGTTTTCAAGATCGCAAAAGCTCAAACTCTCATTGCCCTAATGAGCACGGTCCCCGGCTACTGGTTCACCGTCTTCCTCATCGATAGAATCGGAAGGTTCAAGATTCAACTCCTCGGTTTCTCCATGATGACAGCTTTCATGTTCGCTCTCGCCATACCATATAGCCACTGGACTCATCCCGGAAACCATATAGGCTTCGTGGTCTTATACTCCTTCACCTTCTTCTTCGCCAACTTTGGCCCCAACGCCACCACATTTGTGGTCCCGGCCGAGATCTTCCCCGCCAGGCTCCGCTCCACCTGCCATGGAATCTCTGCAGCTTCTGGGAAGCTGGGAGCCATGGTCGGGGCGTTCGGGTTCTTGTACTTGGCTCAACCGCAGGACAAATCTAAGGCAGATGCAGGGTACCCTGCAGGAATAGGGGTGAGGAATTCTCTGATCGTTCTGGGAGTGGTTAATTTTCTGGGCACATTGTTCACATTCTTGGTTCCTGAATCCAAAGGGAAATCTCTTGAAGAAATATCAAAAGAAGACGAAGGGTCTCAATCATAGCTCTTTTTGTGTTATATTATTTAGCTTACAGTGTTTCTTTGGCTTCTTTGTTTCCAGATTTTCTGTCTTTAGTTGTCGCTTGTCAGATTGCTACTTTCTCTGTGTGTGTTTCAGCTATTAGTCAGTACTGAGTGTGCTAGTTGACAATAAAGATCAGAAATTTAGTGTATATATCCTTCAAATCTGCAATCTTTTCGTTACACCTAGAAATCATAAACTCACAAACTGGCTGGTAAAAGACCACAAAAAGGTAATCTAGTTTAGATTGTAACCAAAAAAGCCTGGGATTGTGACAAAAACATAACTTTTGTACCAGTGAAAGCAGAATCAAGAAAAGGAAGGTACAGAATATCAGCAAGGTTATCTGTATCAGTAAATATATCAAGAAGTTCTTCAAAACAAGTTTTGAATTCTTTATTTCTAGACACTAATAACCACCAGCATTCACAGTTTCTGGGCCAGAAATGGCCTGCAGAATGCTTGACAAGGGTGTTGATGGTGAATAAGATGGTAAGGCTTTATGTAGTTCTTCATCGTTCTTCATCTTGCACGATCTCTGATCACCTCGAGGTCCATTTCTGTAGGGTCGGTAGCTTGGATTTCGTAATGGAAGCCATCCAGGTCTCTTTTGAACCGGTCTTTGGAGGTAGCATAGAGCATTTTTGCACGAATTCGGGAGGTTGATGGAGACCTGCAATTTTGGCAAACCATTATGCATGATTATTAGAGCCAAATGCGAAGTTCAATGCTGATAGGAATAGAAAGGTGTGGATGGAGCTCTAACCATGCAATGAAGAATATCTTGCTCTTTTGGCAATTCTCAGATGTCACAAAGTCGAAGTCATAGACTGCATATCTGCAATCATTCTCCGGCAAGGAGGCAGCAAAATCATCATAGCTCTCAGCAGGGCCGCCAGTTTTCTCCACAACCACCTCCTTTTTCTTTTCATCAATCTTGAAAATCACGTATCGATGCATCTTCTTCCTCTGCAGCTCCAGGAATGCACTTCTGCTGTGATCAGCAACACCCATGCCAGAAGATGCATTTGGCTGAAAAACAAACACAGCTAATAAGCGTTACTGATTTGCATAAGGCTAACAGTCTAAGCCCGACTAATACACCAATCACTGCTGGAAGTTATGGAATTTCCGACCACCTGAAAGTGATCTTCAAGTCGAAAGCAAAAAGTGGTCGGAAATAGCAACAAAGGTTTTTCCGGATGCCAAAAGTGGCCGGAACAAGCTTTCGGCTTGATTTAAGATCACTTTCAGATGGTCGGAAATTCCATAATTTCCAACAGTGAATTCAGCCCAAAGAGCATGATTAAGCCTAGCAGGTTGGTCCGTTAACAATTAATAACCACAAGATTCCAAGTTCGACTCCAAGTAGGAATGACGTATTGACTTTCTTGGTTTGAACTAATCAACTATGACAACCTAAGCTAATTTAGTTCCTCGTGATCCTTTGATAGATAGGGTCACAAGCGGGGTTTACCCTCGGATAGTTTCCTATACATGCCCTAAAGCCTCAAGATCATTTCATCAGTTTACATCCTCCTCTCTACAGAGAGCTAGCAATAAGGCAATAAGCTTCATTCTACACTTTGCAGTTTACTACTCTGAGATTCAATAAGGTTGCTAATTTGCCTAATCATCTTCCTCAAATAGCTAATTATGCAGTGTAGTTATAAGGTGAAATCCACACCCTTTCTTTATAACAGAAAAGCAAGAAAAGAAAGAGTAAATACAAAGACTAATTAATTAAGATCAATTTTTCTGTTTCCACCCAAAAACTTTGAGTAATTTCTCATCAAAATGGCAGCAGTAGTTGATACAAGCCCAGAATCAAACCTCAAAGTTTCAATCTGTTCCTTAAACTTCTTCAACGAGATAATGAAACGAAATCAAAGGCCCAAAAAAACAAACCTAGGAGATATTCTTGATATAGCAGAACCATTCAAGATCGCAACTGGGTAATAAAATTTGTATCATCCCAAAGCAATTCACAAAACACCCAATCACTATAAACCCTAGAAGCTAAGCACATAATCTACCAGGAAAGACACAAATAGAAGCTGGAGATTTCGAGAACCTAGCCCCTTGAGCAGCAGAGAAACAGAGGGAGATAAAGAAAGTACCCCTCTTGCAGTAGTTCTGAAAGCCATGGCTGATGAGCTTGAGATCAGCAATGGAAAGATGAAAGATCGCTGCTTTATTTATACTTATTGAATTATTGAATGTTTTCTTGGACTCCGGCGTTTCTTCTTCTGGATTCCCAGCAAATTTAATTTATGTACGTAATATAAAGTAGGGAGTAGAATAAGCTGCATGGTGCTAAAATCAAGATTTTGCATAGGGAATCGAGTTAGGCCCACCGTCGGCAAGGGCGGTGCGTTGTACATACGCTTTGCCTACTTTTCACAAAATCGCAAACGTCAACTACCTGTATTTTATTTAAGGATTATGTATTAACTAATGATTAAATGATACAATAATTATATTCCACTCGTGAGTCGACTTGTACCAACTAACTTATTTAAACCAATTTTTAAAAATTTATTGTAATTGCTCCTACAATATATGTAGACACTTACTTAAGAAATATATAAATAAAAGTTATTTTTTGGTATGTGTATAAATAAAAGTTATAATACCATTTGAATAATTTTGGGAGATTAGAATTTCAGTTTATTTTTTAGGAAGTTTCTTTTCAATTAGTGATAGTTTGCTGGTGCGTAAACTTTTCAATCAGGACTGTCCGGATTATTCATATGCAGGTTGTATTATAAGGCATTGTGAGAATTTCAAACGACACTTTAAATCAGTGTTTATCAAGTATGTTCCTCGATCAGTGAACAAGTGCGCTCATGCTTTTAGGTAGGGCTGCGTGTTCTCTGTCTTGTCATATTAGTTGGTTTTCAAAAAAAGGCTGAACACCAAGGTTTTCATCTATTCTTGTTTGTATTGAATGTTTTGTTTCATGATATTAATATTATTGCTTTGGTTTTCAAAAAAAAAAAGAAAAAATATTATTAAGTTAACATTGTATTAAGTTGAATAAAATTTGAATTTATTTTGGTGAGAAAAAACTTGTCCTCACTATTTGAGGGTATATTAGTACAACTTTACTCTATAATAACCTACAAATTTCACAGGAAATAAAAATCGCACTAGAAATATCCCATTCAACGAGCTTGATCAATAGAGTATTGAAAAAAAAATTGTGATATTTAGGTGAGAATGTTCCATCCACTTGGCCACTTTTGAATTTATTATTTAGATAACTTGGGTTCAACTTTTATCCTTAACATTTTAAACATTAATTATTTTTGGAATAGGGTCAAATAGGTCATTCAACTACACACCAAAATGCAATTAGGTCACCGAACACAAAAAAAATACAATTAGATCCCTGAACAACGTAAATTAATACAATTTCACCAAAAATGACTTGTTTACTTGTTGTTTTGCTGACGCGTCAGTTACCGAATTTAAAACTAATTTGTTAACTTCTATTTTAATAATTTTAAATATTAATTATTTTAAAATTTAAGAAAAAAAAATGCCAAAGACGAAGGGGTCTCCGGACAGCGCTGCCATGGAGACGAAGAGATCGCCATGGCCGGCCGGAGACGAAGGGGTCCCATTCATCAACAGTCTTCACATTGATAAGTAGAGTGTAGAACATCCTACCATCCGATATATATGAATTGAACTTTGAGTAGCTTGGGTGGTTGGTGTTTGTGTTGTTGTCCCATAGGGCATAGATTCAAACAAGACTTTCTTAATAAAATGGGTCACGGAATCCCATGGTGTCATCACATACTTTGGTCAATGTCAGTCCTGAATTATTATTGGTGTAAATGTTGTCTTTCAATTTTCAAAACGGTACATATATTGCCCCTCCCGTAACGGACCTATATATGGTTACGTTACCCGTTAGTTGGCACCATTAAGTAAGAGTAAATAGGTAATTTGCTTTTTTGCCTTTTCCCTTTCCTCTTTGTGTTCGACGCTGATGCTTGGAGAAGAGACGACAAAAGACGACTTCCTGCTGCGATTTTTCATCTTTTTGTCTTCATCGATTGTTCTCTTGCCGACGACTAGGTTTCTCCTTCTTCCTATTTTCTTCTTCTCTTCTCCTTAATTAATTGCGTTAAACAGTCTTGATTAATTATTAGAAGAATTGAATATGATTTTAAGTTGGAAATTTTTGGGAATCAAATATGTCATCCACCAGGTGCTATCTTTGGATTTCGGAAGCCGTTTGTGATCCATTCGTTGGCATTATTTACTTTGTATGTTGATGAATATGTTGTAATATGGATGCTAGGAATTTTTAAATGTTTTTTGCTTGATGCATCTTTAATATACTGTAAAATGTGATGTTTGAGGTTCTTGTGAGTAGTTATTGGTGTAAATGAGAAAGGAGTTTGTAAAAAAATAATTGGATTGAACTGGTCTAGCATCTATTCAACATTGAACAATTGAAGCAGTCATACTTTGTTTAACAAATACTTGATTTTATTCCCAAAATTTTCCAACTTAAAATCATATTCATTTCTTTCAATAATTAATTAGGGTTGTTTATCACAATTATTTAAGGGGAAGAAGAATGAAAATCTTTGTTGTCGGCGGCAGGAGAACAATCGACGAAGACAAAAGAAAGAAAAAAATTGCAACAAGAAGTTGTCTTTTGTCGTCTCTTCTCCAAGCATCAGCGTCGAACACAAAGAGGAAACGGGGAAATGGAAAATAGAAAAAAAATTTACCTATTTACTCTTACTTAACGGTGGACACTAACAGTTAACCATAAGTCCGTTACGTGCCGGGTGGGACAATATATATACCGTTTTGAAAATTGAGGGGTAATATTTACACCACTAATAATTTAGGAGTGGTATTGATAATTGGCATATTATGGGAGGAATAAATTACAATTTTTCATAAATTTTAAAATATCATATATTGGTAAACAAAACTTTAAAATACTTATGAACCGAAAGTGCAATTAACCTAAAAAAAAATGATTTATTTTCAAATTTAAATCACTTTATTATTGCAATTTGTGCTTTTTATTATATTAATAAATATAAAATCCATAATGTTTGATTTCATAAATTAAAAACGTTGCACATTTAGTAAAAACTTAATTTACCCACAATATTTAAAGTAAGAATCAATTGCTTCATACGTAAATATATTTCAGAAATATATTATGGTTTCGATTTTGGCACGTTACGTTATTAATAAGGGGTTGATCTTTAATTTAAATATTTTATCCTAAGATATTGAGTAATGGAAAATGATTAATTAGGAAATATTATTTTTATTAGTACATATTTTAATCTCATTGGATAAAGAAAAAAAATTGTGAATCAAAATACTTTTTCTTGAAAAAAAGTACGTATGCAAATCGAAATATCCATCTTAATGTTCCTAAGGTGTGACTAAGTAGGTGAAGTATAATTTTTATATTAAAATATCACGAGTTCAATTCTTGCCAACCCTTTCTTAGTGGAGTCGTCCTATAAAGTCTTTCTAGTATGGAGTATTTCTTATATATGTATGATTTGTGGATTATGCCATGAGAATGTTTAATTTGTGAATACTTTAGAATAGTGATTGTGAATTTTAATTTCCTATTACTTAAAAATTAAACTATATATATATATATATATATATATATATATATATATATATATATATATATATCAAATTCTTTATTTTCTCAAATATTATTTGAATTTGAGAATCTCCCTATGTTACCTAAAATTTATTAATTATCTAAAAAAAAATTGTACCAAAATTTTATATATATATTCAATCAAATCCTTTAAGACTTAATACTATATCTAATTATGGATACGTGATTTTCTTTTAAATATTATGAATTATTTTTTGTGACATATCACCTTAAAATTATAAAATTATAACACTCGCTCGAGTACCAGTATATATATATATATATATATATATATATATATATATAAGTGGAAGGTTTCCCCTCCTTGGCATATAACAATTGGTGGAGAATTGAGAGGTATAGAAATGGGGAGAGCTCCATGCTGTGAGAAAACGGCAGTGAAGAGAGGTGCATGGAGCAAAGAAGAAGACCAAATCCTCATCAACCACATAAATAAATATGGCCATGGAAATTGGAGAAATATTCCTAAGAATGCTGGTATTTGTTTATATATATGTGTATGTGTGGAGAAATATTCCTAAGAATGCTGGTATTTGTTTATATATATGTGTATGTGTGGAGAAATATTCCTAAGAATGCTGGTATTTGTTTTTATATATGTGTATGTGTGGAGAAATATTCCTAAGAATGCTGGTATTTGTTTATATATATGTGTATGTGTGGAGAAATATTCCTAAGAATGTGTGTGGTATTTGTCTATATATATATGTGTGTGTGTGGAGAAATATTCCTAAGAATGTGTGTGTGAGATAAGTTTAATGAATCTAATGATTTGTTGTTAGGTTTAGTGAGGTGCGGGAAGAGTTGCAGGCTTCGCTGGGTGAATTATCTCCGTCCGGACATTAAACGGGGACACTTTACAAGTGAAGAAGAGTTTCTCATTGTTAAGTTGCATAAGATTTTTGGGAACAGGTTAATTTGTAGTTAAATATGGTTACAATTGACGAATAATATTAACTTTTAGTTGATTAGTTGAAAAAGTTACGAGTTTTGTTCTGATACGGTTGCAAATTAAAAATGTTTAAAAGACATTAATTTATAATAGCAAAAAAAAAAAAACATTACAGTTAAATTTTGTAACACTTTTTTTTGGTCATTAATTAACAACAACGTTAAATTCTACTATGTAGATGGGCCTTAATAGCTGCAAAGTTGCCGGGAAGGACGGACAACGAGATTAAGAACATATGGCACACTCGTCTGAAGAAGAGATTGCACGAGTTCGATATTCCAGCCGATAATCAGGTCGCCGGCGACACCCTCAAAAACGACAGCGCCACCAATTTTGAGGGCGCGGCGCCGTCGCCGCCGGCGGAGGACAATGATCCTGCCACCAATAATATTCTTCCACCACATTCAAAATCCTCAAGTGGTGCTGCCGGAGCTGCTGCGGCGGCCCCAAACAATCCCTCCGACGGCGGCTCAGCCGGAGATGATGATCAGTTTTGGACACAAATAAACGACAAATCTGGGTTTGAATTTAACGGCGCCGACTTTAATGTCGGTGGGGTTGATCCAGGCAGTCTGCAGTTTTGGCAAGACCACCTTTTAACCTGGAATGATGATGAGTTTCTGGATCTTTGGAATTAATCACTGTTACCATTTACCAGGCTGCAAAACCCTTTGTGTTTTCGTTTAATTTTACCAAATAAATCTGGATGAAATTTCAAGAATTATTATTGTATATTCGCGTGACTAGAAAAATCCGTCACTATTTGATGATCCCCGCATTGTATCCCATATAGTAAAAGATTTCAAAGAGAACGATAAATCAATTTAAGTTGTCATATATAACTGGATGGTCAGATCAGCGGCTTAAACTAAACCAAAAATGACAAGAAGGCCAAGAATGAATTTGTGTATTTACCATTGCATGAAGTTAACAATCCAAACGAACAAGAAGAAGATAAGAGGTTAAATTAAACAAAAAAGGAAAAAATAAAAAGAAAAAACCAAAATAAAATAAAATTAGCTAGGGATCGGATCACTTGTGGACCTTGTAAACTGGTACACACTGGGTTTGGTCTTAGACCTATAGAAAGCCCTTTTCTTCTTTGATGTGAGGTTGTGAATGGTGATGGCTATCTCTCCAGGTTCTCTAATGTGGAACGAATTCCTGACTAAACCCGTTAATTTCTTGTCCGATTGAAGCAACACGTTATAGGAGCAATCGTCTTCCGGGACGAATTCTTCCTTGTACATCACCTCGTTCCCCACCACCATCCAATCCCACGTTATTGTCATGTCAACCTGTCACCATTAAAACATCTGGACTAAACCTGTATTATACTCAGACTAATTCTCATTCACACCGGACTGGCCCAATTAAGAGGATCAGATTGAATTTTCTATTTATACGATAAGTGGTTCGAACTTTTGACCTTTTTAAGGGACAAGAGTGAGGAGCTTTTATGTATATATTTACCTGATTGGCAGGAATCTTAATGGTGGAAATTATGCTTGGTTTTAGGGTTTCCTCTAGGACTTTGTCCTCCGGGGAGAACTCATCGTCTATATCTCTTTTGATGCCACCATAATGCACCTGCAATTGTTCAGCTGGAATGTACCTGGATATATATGCAATAATATTATATATATAGAGAGAGAGATCAAATAATATATATAAATATCCAACAAATTAAAACCCGGATCAAATAAAATGAAGTGGTAGGTACCTGAGGAGTGTGTCTGTAACTCTTGCTGGCTTAACAAAGATGAACTTGGTCTTGCTTCTTTGTTGTATCACTCGTAGGTTGAATGCATGGAACGTGGAATACCAGATAGGAACGTTTATCACTATCTGCAATAATATAATGCTTAATTAAAACATTTAATTTGTTTTACCAAAACTGTAAATTATTCGAGTCACTGGGGAAATAGCAATCACTATTTGAGGGTGTAGGTAAACTCACTCTTCAACCCTAATTGACACAGAATCATAAAGAGGATTATATAACTATACGCACATTCTTGTAGATGAGTCCTGGATAATTATCCTGAACTATACGTAGCATTTTCCTGGTAATCCAGCGGACCTCTTTCATGGCGGTTCCCGGCGAGTTCCTGAGATCCGTGACGAGAACTAAGGAGTGTTGGGCGCCGGGTTTGAAGTCGAGCAGCCGGATTCCCTTCTCCAGGCACTGAATCCGCCACCGGACTAACTCCTTCCGGTGCTGATTATGTGTCCCCCAGATTTCTCTCTGCAAATCCTTCTTCTTGAAATTCCCCAGCACCTGGTAACAAATCGGCCGCCCTTTCCTGTCCTTCCCGTTGGTGAACCACATATTCTCCACCTCCGGGCTGAATTCCTCGTCCAGAATCCCGTCCACTCGGTGCTTTGTCCGCCACCGCAGCACCTTCCGCAGCGCCTTGAACGCCTCCGCCACCTTGTAATCCCTCGCCTTCAAGAAACTCATCAGGACCACGTCCGTCCCCTGGTGCCCCTTGCTCGACAACAATGGCACCCCCCATAGCGTCATATCCCTCTGGTTTTCCAGGTTCCTCTTCGAGAAGATAACCTTTAATTTATTTCACATTAATTATATTAGTTTCCTTTCAAACCTTGCAATTTCAATCCATATTTTTTTTTTGTAAAAATGGTCCTCTGACGAAAAATAGGCCAGAAGAACCATTTTTGCAAAAAAAAACAGTGGTGGATCCAGATTGCAAGGTTTGAAAGTCGTGCATCAAACCTGATAGTACTAGAATAGTCGTGGGACCAAAAGTGCGATAACCTTCTCGGTGTCGTTCTTCTTCTTGTTGTACACCAGGTAGTTGCTGAGAATGGCGTCTTCTATCCGGCCCCGGAAATCCAGCAACGCCATCTTCGCCGACAGCTTCATCTCTTCGCCGTCGTCGTCATCCTCGTCGTCGTCCTGAGATTCCGGGCCGAAATGGATCGGCTCCGACAGGAATTCCTGGTCCGCTTCATCGTTTATGATGATGCTGCGGTTGTCCTCCTCCTCATCGTCGACGTCCAAGGAGGGGGACACATTTTGCTCCGGCATTATATTATATATTATTATTGTCAACTAATTTAACGTCGTCGTCGTCGGCGTCTGATGATGATCGGAGGAGCACGCGCGGCCAGAGATCTGTTTCCGATCCGGCGATGGACGTGTCTCCCCTCCTCGGCAAAAGAGTTGAGTCACGTTATAAATATATCATCATATGATCATCATAATCATAATAATAATAACATCGATCGATCAATTTTGTGAAGAACATGCAAAATACTGTTTTATCAGATTAGATTTATGTTCCAAGACGCCGTGAATTGGTTTTGCTGCCGCCAATTGCGGACGCCTTTGATCCTAATTATGGACTATTATTCATGCCAAATTTGTTGGTTTAATTTATTTTTAACCCATTTATAGTATTTATTTGTTTAAAAAGAATACATAATTACAACTCGGAGATCAAACTCATGTATACATAACAATATCCTTACAAAAGCTACTCCTTAATAGGGCTCGACCTAAGGGAGCAACTTTGTTGATGTTTGATTAAATTAGTTTTATTTCGTATAAAATATGTACATTTTTTTTTTTATATGGAGTATATATTTTTCTACAAAATGAAACCAATGTCTTTATGTTGGGCACAATTATGTTTTTATTTTTCTTTTGTGCATATAGCTAGTATATAGTATCCTCATTATTATTTAAAAGATTAATTTAAAATTAGTTCGAGTCGCACGTGCAAATTTGTAACTATACTAGTTTTTACCCATCATCTCGAGTTATTAGGTTACATACTTACATTTATGTTATTTATATTGTAAAAAGACACTTCTTCATAAATTAATATTAAAACAGAATTGAGATTTTGTTTGGTGACAAGAGAAACACATATATAACAACTATTCAAGGGTGTATATCAGTAATCTTCGCTCATGTGCAATAGCCCTTAAATCACATATGTGAGATAAAACCGTGATAAAAAGTCCATTTGCATAGGCTCAATCAAAAAATTATTGACATAAATCAAACTCATGACCATAAAGTACAATAATTATACATTTATACTTCACCCACCCAACCATCTCTTTTGGACCAAAATTGATACTTTTACCCCTTAACAATTTCAGCTTGTAAGGTATCACACTATCACGGGAAGTCTATGATGGCTAATTTGGTAATTTTGCCAATCCAAAATCGATAATGAAAATAATCGTAAAAATGAGCAGAGGTTTTAAGATTAGAACCCTGAAAGCCTAAAACCCGACTCCGGCGAAGACGACGACATTTGAGCTACGGCAAGAACGCAACCCAATCGGCGATGGTTTCCACATCTACCTGGATCCGCTACCTAGCTAACAAAGCCGAGTATGCGTATCATCTCTGCTGGAAGGTCACTTTCTCCTTCTCTCTATTCACTCGCACGCATACATAATACGCATCGATTATATTTTCAACTAAACTCTTGTTACTACTGTTTCAATACGTGCTTTTGGTAAGATTGTTCTGAAAATTTGGTTCATCAAACGATTGCTGATTGAGCATTCCGAAATTGTGGACAATTAATGCTTCGTTTTGTGGGGTTAATTTGGTGTATCATGCTTTGAGATTGATGTTTTATTCCTGTATTCTCGAATTCTCGAATTGTTTGTTCTAATTTTGGTTTATCGAATGAAAGTATTGAGTGAGTGCATATGGATTACGAATGTTGCCTAGTAATCACCGTTTGACAGTTAGGTCAAGTCTCTAAAACATTCCCTTTGAAAGCAGAGTGAGGTTGATTGCATTTTCTATGCTAGGCCTTTATGATGCAGATTATTGGAAGATATAGACTTGGTGATACGCTTATTATGTTCAATGAAGTAAATAACATCTGATTTAAGATTCAAGATAACTTTTTATGTAGTATGTATTAGCTAAAATGAGTTTTGTTTATCGTACTGTGGGTTTACCAAGTTTATCTCCTCTCAATACCATAAAGTGTAGGACTTTACGGAGAGGAAAGTAACGAGCACAACATAACTAAGGAGGCTTTATTAAGTGGATGACTGGATGTATTATGCATTTGTTTGGTCTTGAAGCCATTTAAAAAAAAAAAAGAATTGTGTTTTGATTTGGATAGGGATGGCAATTTTTATCCAACCTTGCATTATTCTTTAGTGCAAAGCAAGACTCTAATCTTCATATATAGAAAATATTGAGTAAGCTCCCAAATTTTGTGTGAAAAGTCAGTCTCAGGCAGAATATTGATTGCGGGCTAAGATTTGGATAGGAAATCCTTTGAGAAGAATGGAGATTAAAAAACACCATAAAATACAGCAATAACTAGCTCAACAGATTTCAAATGATCCATGAGGTCTAGGTTGGCTCCATCCTATGCAATTCAATGTTTATCACTTTATCTTGGGATTGATAAATGATGGTATCATCCCTAGAGAACCTATATGCAATTAATTGGCAGATGTTTGGACTTGCAAGATGACGTTGATGGATGAACTTTATGGGTGTAGAGTTTGAGAAGTATCCTTCAGCTTTATTTTAATGCAAGTGCTTCAAATAGCTATTTTTGCATTTCCCTAGTGGGGGCAAGAGGATTTGCTTACCAATGTACTATGCCTTGTTATTGGTGTTTTTTTTTTTTTTTTTTCAATCCATCCCAACTTCTGGTTGTTGTTCATTGTGGTGGTTGCACATTTTGTTGCAGAACTACACTGCAGGAAATATCACAGAGAGAGAAGCTGGTGATGCCATATTTAAGCATTTCTTTCAAGGAAAGTTAACATTCGTGCACTTCAATAAAGGAGGAGAAGAGATGGCACCAACAGTAGGAGCTCAGGGTGGAACCCTACTTGTGCGGAAGATACCTATGCCAAATCCAATGTAAGTTTATATCATTCAACGGTATATGATGAGTTATTTTAGTGCTAAAAAGATTTCTTTGCTCTGAATCATGGACATATGGTTCTTGCTTAGTTTCTTCCCTCCCATTTTTCAATACATGCAAAGTTGAGATAAATCAGTCATTAGCATTCCTCTGAGATAAAGAATGCATCGGAGTTGACTTTTCCTTTGAGATGATTTTTTAGTGGTAGTAGAATAGTATTTCAGGTTAAAGGTTTGCTCTCATTATTTTAGTCAATGGAAGCATAAACACTACTGCCCCCCCCCCCCCCCCCCCCCCCCCCACACACACACACACACACACACACACACAAAGAAAAAGGAGAAAAAAAACACACCCATACATATGTGTGTGTCATTTTGGTTAATAAACTAATATTGTCTTCATTGTTTTGTTTATATAAGCATTGAACAAAAATCATTGACGTCTTTATTGTGATTTATCTTTTACTTTCATTCTGAAAGTTTCTTTTCTGCACGTATATATAATACCTATTTTTACAAGAGGAAAACATAAGGCTGTGTACATTGTCCTTATCCAAACATTATATGAAGTCAGCATATGATATGTTTCAGTAGATACACTACGCGTCACAGGTCTATGGTTAACGGAGGAAGCAGGTGGTCTACCTATGGTGGCTGGATATAGAATAAGAGAGGAGAAGTTGGAGGAAGAAACTTCCTTTTGATTTTATTCAATTTCCAACTTAACTTGACAAATTAATATTCTCCCATATATATAGGAGTTACAACCAAAGATATAAGGAAATAATATTCTAAAACTGCTAAACTAAATATGAAGGAAATATAACTAAACTAGTAAAGGAAACAATATAACTAAACTAGTAAAGGAAACAATATAACTAATTTGATCTTTAGGTAGTGTGAACTAGTTGGGCAGCAGGATCTGTAATGTATCATTATACTAGATTTGAACTTGTAAACTATGAAAGTAACTTAAAATCACTTGAGAGAAAAAGAGTAATTGAAGTAAGTGAAGTTTTACCATTCGAAGTATTTATCCAAGGTGAATACAATATACACAAAAAAACTCATAATGCTTATTGATTGAACATTTTAGAGAGCTAAACACTACAATAATTATATGCTAGTTGAGAAATTGAATTTCTTTGAAAGCACCCTGCTTCTGCACCAGTCTTTCCATGAGCTTTTGTCATGCCTTTTGCCTTCATTTTCTTTAAATTTGAAAAGGTTTTTGTAGTCTACAAAATAAAGTAACAAAAACCAATGCTTTATGTGAAATGCTCTCTTTTAACTGAATCTATGTTCTTTTTTTGACCCAACCCATAATTTTTTCTCTAGTCATTATAGGAAAATAGTGGAATAATTTACTAATTTCACTATATCCATGAGTGTTGTAAATTCTAGTGGGCTCAATTGACCTCACTGTTAAAATTAGCTCTGCTCATGAAAGTTGGCTTTTATGATTTCATTTGTGTTCTTCATTCGATTTTTTCTTAGAGTTCATATCATTCTTTCACAGGAAAGTTTTTGTAGGAGATGTTGTAGTCCTTAGGGACCCTGTTAAGCATGACAATTTTCTGGTGCGGAGATTGGCTGCCATTGAAGGATATGAGATGGCTTCCACTGATGAAAAAGATGAACCATTTGTACTTGAAGAAGATCAGTGCTGGGTAGTAGCTGACAATGAAAACATAAAGCCCAAGGTATATACACTTGTCAAAATTTTCGTTCTGCATTATCTGCCTCAGTGCCTCTGCACATTCAGTTTTCTCTTTTTGTTTAACTTAACCAGAACCTTAATTTCACCTACCACAACTCCACAAGTCTGATACTGTTCAAAAAGAACTATTTCACCCCACAGCTCTGTAATTTGCACACACGCTCTGAGATAGTATTTAGATTCATTTTCCTTTGTCTAATAACAGGATGCAAATGATAGCCGAACATTTGGCCCCGTTTGCATGGCTGATATAATCGGTAGAGTTATTTACTGTCTAAAATCAGCTGTTGATCATGGCCCTGTTAACAACAGGTTTGTTTTCTTATCGTGGTTCGACTATTTATGGTACGTTAAAAATTCTGATTGTAATAAAATATAGTTGTTTTTTTTTTTTTTCCAGCAATTTTAGCATCCAGAAGGATACACCTGTGCTTGAAGTCGAGCTGGATGTGGACGAGATGGCAAAGAATCACAAAGCATAGACTGCCAAGAAAATGCGTAGATCCTTTCAGTTCAATCATACCATTCTCTGGTTTATTCTGTGTGCTAGCATGATTTTATTTATACCGTGAGCAATTATCACAAGA